GATATAATTACAGTTACATAACTTCTGTTGAAAACTACCATATCATTAACTTTACATTGGATATAATAACAGTTACATCTCTTGTAGTCTTAAAATAATATATCCCTCATTTTACAGTACATATAATTATAATTCTAGTGTTAGAATAATCAAATCTTCACCCCAGTGGTGACTCCAAGTGGAGAGGCAAGGGAGTAGCAGAAAAATCACCAAAGTGACTTACAACGAGTAACTTTGAAATGTTTCCAGTTCTTACCCTGATTGGCTACAAAAGTAACAGAACTAACCAGGGATTCGATGGATGAGGTTTTATCGCCTACTGTTACTTGGTGCTAAAGATATGGTATTCAGTGAACTGTAGTTTTTAGGGTGGCGGTCTGAGAGACAAACAAATATTTAGGGTGGCGGTCTGAGAGACAAACAAATATTTAGGGTGGCGTCCCCTTTTCTGACGTTGCTACTGTCCTCAACCTTATAGTTGGGATTACGGCCAAAAATATCGCTAACAGCGATAGCACCCAACAGACGAATCAATGTATTCTAATAATTATAAAAACGATATATTAGATTAGCTTTACGAACTAGTGGGTAAAAGTTTAGTTAAAATACACTGGTGATCAAAACATAATTTCTGTTTTTTGTTAATTTCGTTCTCGACATCACAAATGAAATGCTTATGTCGATTTTTGCACTGAGAGATAAGCATTATGGAGCCTGATAAATGTCTAAGTAAACAAAGGCGATTTTGTTTACGCTGCTAAGCATATTTCTAGTTCCAAAACGGGGCTCACATGCTGTGACGTCACAGTTTCTATACCTGTTCAATCTAGTACAACATTGATGTTATGTACTATAACTAAATTTAATAACTATTTACTTCTTCAAAATGCCTAATTGCGTTGTGTACGGATGCAACAGTGATTCTAAGTATGAAAAAACTATTATAAACGAGTGTATATGGGACTGCTTTCTAGTCACACCATCTCGATGTACACTTTAAATAGTTTTAAGTTCTGTAATTTTAATCTTTATGACTCACGCAAAAAATAAGTGATGTCACTTGATGGTAAGAAGATTGGTTTGCAGGAAAGAACGAAAGTAACAGGGGAACACTTAATTAAACCGATTCCTATCATCCTTTTGATGAATATGTGTCAAATATACTGTAAATTACAAAATAAATCATGACAGAGTTTTATATAAAAAAATTACCTGACCAGGCCAAATTATCCGTCCACACATCTTGGCTTTGAGCCCGGGTCTGGGAAGCGTCTTCTTCTGATTCGTCCTCGGACAGATTAGAGATTTATCTAGTATCAGATTCATTGTTTACATTTTTCGACTCGTTCATATTGATACTGTTGAATGTTGTCTACCGGCGTACATAGCTCGTGATCAATAGTATGATTCAATACTGACTGTCGGTAAATTGAACTCCATCATTATAGCCGGGTAAAATTGTACATGCCATGAACTTTTGCAGTGTTACATTCAACGAATATCATTAAAATTGGCATATAAACGTAGTTCATAATTCAGATTTTCATATTATCCAAGTCTTAGTTTGCTAATTTCAAAAAAATATATATATATAAAATATTCTCAGTCTTTGTTTTTATGTATTATGTGATGCGTCTAAACTCCGATTTCTCTATTTCAAAAATTTATAACTTGAATACTAGGCTTCTATAGTTTCCAACTAATTTGAAACACGAACTCATTACAGCTATTTGATCGTGGCGGCCACGGAATAACAGTCTGACGTAGATTCTTCGTTTGCAAACTTTATAATCTTGCTTGAGCGCCAAAAGGATTTGTTAATCAAATGTATAGCTTATTTAGAGAGCCAGATAAATTATAATAATTTTGGGACATTCTAATCTAGTTCTAAAATACATTTTTGAAAGATACATGAATT